CTCTCATTTCCTAGCCATGTGGCTCTCTCACAACATGGCTTCTATTTCCTCAAAGCCAGCAGGAGACTCTCTTTTAAAAGCTCACCTGAAAAGATCAGGCCAGCAAGGATAATCTGTCTTTTGATTACTTTAAAGGACATTAATCACATCTCCAAAACTACTTCACCTTTGGCATATAACATAACCTAATCACAGGACTGATATCCTATCATATTCACAGATTCTTCTGCACTCAAGAAAGAGGGATTATATAAAGCATATACACCAGGAAAGCAAGAATCTTAGGGGTCATTTAGAATTCTGCCTACCACAGTAGCCCTTTTGGCCTCCAACAATTTGTGTTCCTTCCAAAGGGGAAAAAGATTTCCTCCCTCCCAAGGTTTCCCCCATCTTCTTTTTTTTTTTTTTTTTTTTTTTTGAGACGGAGTTTCGCTCTTGGTACCCAGGCTGGAGTGCAATGGCGCGATCTCGGCTCACCGCAACCTCCGCCTCCTGGGTTCAGGCAATTCTCCTGCCTCAGCCTCCTGAGTAGCTGGGATTACAGGCACGCGCCACCATGCCCAGCTGATTTTTTGTATTTTTAGTAGAGACGGGGTTTCACCATGTCGACCAGGATGGTCTCGAACTCTCGACCTCGTGATCCACCCGCCTCGGCCTCCCAAAGTGCTGGGATTACAGGCTTGAGCCACCGCGCCCGGCTCCCCCATCTTCTTACAGCATGAGCTCAAAGTCCAAACGCTCATCATCTGAATTATCTATACCTGGTGCCGATGAGCCTAGGTGTAATCAATTAAGCTCAATTCTTTAAAGCACAATTCCTTTATGTGGATTTGTGAAACTAGAGACAAGTCTGCTCCCAACACTCCATCACACAGTGGTGGGACTGACGTAGGATAACAGTTACAGCCATACCAATACACAAACAGGGAAAAGATATGGAAGGTAACAATGAGTCACTGGTGTATAACAATTCTAACGTCACCTGGACAAATGTTGGATTTTTACTGATTAAGTTTTAAGATCTGGGAATAATCTTCCTTGACTTTCAACCTACCCTTTGGGCTCTTGGTTCCACTGTGAGTCATCCTTGCTTTTTCGTGGAAGGTGGCACATGTTTGATTAATTTTATCAGCCTGCTTCCTACCAATATGATTTTGCTAGCTCTAAAAGCTCCTGCTTGCTCACTAGTTCCAAAGCCAATTCTAAGATTTTTCCTCCCCAAAGACACAGACTCTGTCACCCAGGCTGGATTGTGGTAGCGCAATCAGTAGCTGACTGCATCCTCAAACTCCTGGGCTCAAGTGATCCCCCTGACTCAGCCTCCCAAGTAACTGGGACTACGGGTGCACGCCACTGCATCTGGCCAACATTTGTATTAGTGTTTTATTGCTCCATAATAAATTACCACAAACTTAGTAACTTAAAACAAGACAGTTATTATCATTTCTGTAGGCCAGAAGTACAGGCACAGCTTACCTGTGTTCTCCGCTTCAGAGTCTTACCAGGCTGCAATCCAGATATTTCCTAAGACTTTGGCCTCATCAGAAGCTCAACCTGGGAAAGATCCACTTCCAAGCTCATTAAGATTGTTGACAAATTTCAGTTCTTTGCACCTAGAGGATGAAGGGCTCTGGTACTAATTCTTATCATAGCAGCTGGCTTCCTTTTTTTTTTTTTTTAGGCGGAGTTTCACCCTTGTCTCCCAGGCTGGAGTGCAATGTGCGATCTCTGCTCACTGCAACCTCCACCTCCCGGGTTCAAGCAATTCTCCTGTCTCAGCCTCCCAAGTAGCTGGGATTACAGGTGCCTGCCACCATGCCTGGCTAATGTTTGTATCTTTAGTAGAGACAGGGTTTCACCATGTTGGCCAGTGTGGTCTCAAACTCCTGACCTGAGGTGATCCACCCACCTTGTCCTCCCAAAGTGCTGGGATTACAGGCGTGGGCCACCAAGCCCAGCCTAGCAGCTGGTTTCTTCAAGGCAAGCGGGAGGGTCTTTCTCACTCCAGTTGGCTGAGACCAAGTCTTTTATAACATAACAGTCATGGGAATGACATTTCATCATCTTTGCTATATTCTATTGGCTAGAAGCAAATTCACAGGTCCCAACCACACTCATGGGGAGGAGATTATACAAGGCCGTGACTCATTGGAGTCCCCCTTAATATGTGTACACTCATGCTCTTTTATCTCCATTACCCTCTTCAATCTGAGGAAAAACACCTCATGGCCTTTCACATTAGTATCCCTATTATTTGGCATATAGACTGCCACATAGGAGCTCTAAATAATAATTCAAAGCTACAGTTATCAAACTTTTTGTCTTGGGACCCCATTATCCTCTTAAAAACATTATTGAGAACCTAGAAGAGCTTTTATTTACATATGTTATATATATTAATACTGAGGGTTTTAAAACTCATTCATTCAAAGGTAACAATAACTTATTATGTATTAACATGTATGGCATTTAAAATATATATTTTCCAGAAAATTTGTGAGAACATTCCTTTACATTTTTGCAATTTTTAAATGCCTGGTTTAATAAAAAGCAGTGGGATTCTCATAAGTGCTTCCACATTCAATCATCATGGCTGGGTATGGTGGGTCATGCCTATAATCTCAGTGTTTTGGAAGGCTAAGGCAGGAGGATCACTTGAGGCTAGGCGTTCGAGACCAGCCAGGGAAACACAGGGAAACCATGTCTCTACAAATACAATAAAATAAAATTAGCCAGGACTACACCTGCAGTCCCAGCTACTCGGGAAGCTGAGGCGGGAGTATCACCTAAGACCAGGAGCTTGAGATTACAGTGAGCTATGATCGTGCCACTGCATTCCAGCCTGGGTGACAGAGTGAGATCCTGTTTAAAAAAAAAAAGAAATAAATCATATAGCCTCTGGAAGACTCCACTGTATATGAATGAGAGTTTTAAAAAGCAAATAATGTCTTCACATTATTATGAATATAGTTAGACCTTATGGGCCCCTGAAGTGATCCAGATCAGTCTTTGTGAACCACTAATTTAAAGAATTGTCATGCATTGAGAAAAGGGACTTTGATTCATTCAAGAAGTATTTACTGGGTCCTATTCTGTGCTAGGCATTTTTCAAAGCAGTCAACTAGATAGATCAGGTGTCTGTCCTCAGGTTGTTCACAGCAGGTGGGGTAGAAGGATTAGGAACAGCTGGAGGTCACATTTGAGCTGAGTTTTTTTTTTTTGTTTTTTTTTTTTTTTTTTTTAAATGGAGTTTCGCTCTTGTTGCCCAGGCTGGAATGCAGTGTGTGACCTCGGCTTACTGCAAACTCTGCCTCCCAAGCTCAAATGATTCTCCTGCCTCAGGCTCCTGAGGAGTTGGGATTACAGGTGTCTGCCACCACGTCCAGCTAGTGTTTTGTATTTTTAGTAAAGATAGGGTTTCACCATGTTGGCCAGGCCGGTCTCGAACTCCTGACCTCAGGTGACCCACCCACGTCGGCCTCCCAAAATGCTGGGATTACAGGCATGAGACACTGTGCCCAGCCCAAGCTGAGATTTAAGTGGCAAAGGGCAGGCTTATGCAGAGGTCTGGGGAAACAGTGTTCCAGACAAAAAAAAGGAGGGCCCTCCAAAATCTCTGAGCCCAGTCTGGCAAAAGAGCAAACAGAAGTGAGGGTGATTTGAGGTCACAGAGGTGGGCAGGGCCAGACTGAGCTAGGCCCAGGTAAGGAATTTGAAGTTTTAAGTCCAAATTTCCTTTTTTCCCCTCATTCTAAAACCATTCCTATAAACTTTATAAAATTAATCAGGAAAGAAATTGGTTGGGGGGGGGAGGACAAAAATAAACCAAGCCTGCAGCCGATTTAGCATTAATCATGAGGTCAGCTTCCTCTCTGACCTGCTTCCTCACAGTTGTTTGGGGCCTATTGTCCTATCACGAGATTATAGTTCTCTTCCATTGCTCTACAGAGAACAACTTGAACATTATGAAATACTAAGTTTTCCCTTTGAGATAGTCTTTCAGATCCCGGATACCAATGAAACTACTGCCCAGCTGGTCTGAGGAACCCCATGAGAAACTAACTCAGCAAAGAATGAAGTTTCCCTATCCTGATGATTTCATCTCCCTTACTCTGACCAATCAGCGACCCCAATTTTCCAGCCCCTCACCCTCTGTGTTCCTTGTAAAAACCTCAGCCCAGAACTATTCGGAAGATGGATTTGAAGGTGTTTACCCATCTTTGCTAGATACCCTGCAATCATTAAACTTTTTCCCTGCTGCAAACTCTCCTGTCTTCGTGTAATGAGTTTGTTACCACACGGAAGGCATATGAACCTGTTGGTCCTATATCTCTGTCGCCTAGGCTGGAGGGCAGAGGCACAATCATAGCTCCCCACAGCCTCCACCTCTTGGGCTCAAGAGATCCTTCTGCCTCAGCCTCCGAAGTAGTTGAGACTACAGGTGTGCACCACCATCCCTGGCAATTTTGAGGTTTGTTTGTGAACAGATGAAGTTTCGCTACCTTACCCAGGTTAGTCTCGAATTCTTGGTCTCGAGTGATTATCCAGCCTCGGCCTGCCAAAGTGCTGGGATTACAGGCAGAAGCCACCATGCCCAGCTTTAAATCTAAATCTCTTTACGGTGAAGAGAAATACCGAGAGGGGTAAAACGGCTAAAGGATGTCTGTTTGGAGGCGAGGAAGGTCACCCAGAGGTCAGGCACGCTCCCCGCCGGCAGCGACAGCTGGGCTTCGAGACTCCTAAACCCTGCCTCGCATCTCTAAGCGGCTTAACAACGCGAACCAGCTGGGCGACGCGCGCGCACTCTCGCGGAAGCTTGAGTCTCGGCGCCCGCCGTAGACGTCGCGACAGAGGCGGTCCGTTGCCTTGGAGCCGGCGAGACGCGGCTGGGCCTCCACCTCTGTGGAGAGGGCCCGCCGCGGCCTTAATTCAGCATGTCGGTGCTGGATGCGCTTTGGGAGGACCGAGATGTCCGCTTCGACCTGTCCGCGCAGTGAGTCTCCAAGATTCCCGAGGGGTCTTCGGCCTGTAGAGGGCGCCGCGGTGCGCGTTGGGGACCCGCGGGCGGAGCCTGCGGCCCCGCTGCTCGCCGAGCTGGCGGGGTAGGATGTTTGCGTCCCTCGTCTGCGCCTCGAGAGTCCCCAGGCCGGTTGGGCCACTGCGGCCTTCCGGAGGCCGGCGCCGTGGCAAGAGCGCGTCTGGATGCAGAGTTTTGGTCCCGTGCGACCGTCGGTCCCCCATCCTGGCCTGCGGGACAGACCAGGAATGTGAACCGGAGCACGAGCGGGACTACCCGGGGCTTGGCGTCCTGTATACACCCACCTGAGCTTGGGATTTCAGTTTCATGGAAGGAACGTAGGGCAGGGGCTCAGGAAACTAGGGTTCTAAAACTAAGTCTGTAATATCTACACACTGTGTGGGCCCTTGGACAAATGTCTTCATCATTCAAGCTGGAGTCTTCAGGTCTGTAAAATAAGGGAGGTGGGGAGTAGGCAGTCTTCAAAAATTCCTAACCACGCAAAGTTTATGTCCTTGGTAAGCTTTCATCTATTTTTTCATCTAAATCACCAACCAGAAGAAGGAGCCCTCTTTTGCAGCCCTGTTTTTGGAAATTATCATACTTTAAATAGAAGCCCTGTTTTGGGAAAGTATCGTTCTTTAAAGAGAAGGTGGTTAAAAACCTCCTGCTCCAAAATCCAGGGGGAAAAATGCAGATTGGGATACTAAGTGTTGAGAAACACTAAAGCTGAGATTTCTGGATTAATGGCATAGAGCTGCTTAGCTACCTCTTATCATTCCTTAGAGACCTCACTTCCTCAGATAGAAAAACGAAATATTGATACATTTTCCAGGTTAAGTAGTGGCTAGGTATCTAATACTAACATTTTAGATCCTTTAAGAAGATGAAAGAGAAAGGAATTTGTAAAATTACGGACCATAGTTACATATTGTGACATTCTATGACATCTTCTGTCATTCTTATAGGGTTCTTAATGCAAACAAAAGGCCATTTCATTAACATTAATAAACATTTATCAGTGCTTATTATGTGCTAGTTACTATGCCGATAGCTAGAGACAGAAAATAATACTCATATCCCCCTATTCTAGTGCAGGAGATACACAGACAACTACTATAATAAATGTGGTAAGTACCGTTCTGAAAAAATGAACGAAAAGCTGAGACTGATAGAAACAAAACAATTTATTCTGCCTGGTGAAGTCCTTGAAGAAGAATAAATATTCATAGTATTTAAGTTGGTCCCTGAAGAATGGAACCCTTGTCAGGGTAGACAGGAGGACAGTATTCCAGAAAAGACTTAAGCATAAGAAACAGAGTCTTGGAGTTGTAATCTCTGACTAGAAGGCAGGTTCTGCTGCAGAGAGAGGTTGGAGGTACAAATAGAAAGATGAATTAGCCAGATTGTGACATTTTTAGCTCAGGATTTTGGACTTCAACTTCTAGGCAGCCAGAGGACACGAAAGGCTTTTAAGCAGGGAAATGAATCTGTATTTTCAACAGGTGATTGAGTTGGCTCTATGGAGAGTATATTAGAAGGCTCTGCTAGATATTTGCTGCATTTTTTTTGGACACTGTAGAATGTATTCTATCAGTCAGCAAGCTGCCTTTATTTTCTTTTGTCACCTGTATCAATTTGCCAAGTTCCGAAAATGCTTTTGATACAGCTTTTCTTTAACCATTCCTTTCATAATTTCCTGATGATCTTTCCTCTACTCAGAAACCTCTGGAAGTTCTCTCCTGTCCACAGGATAAGGCCTAAACCTATCAGGCTGGCATTCTGGGTTCTCCATAGTCTGGTTCCTCCTTAGTTGTCCAACAGTATTTCTCTTACTACCTCCCAATATGGTCCTTCTTCTCTAGCTTGGCCAGTCTTCTCACATCTTCTTACTATTTCTTTTTCCTGGTCTTTAATTATGGATTCTCTTTCATTTTTCAAAATTCTGTACCTCCTACTCATCTGGCTTACTCCAGATGGCCCTGGTCACTCCAGGCCCCACTGATCTTTAGGTTCTTTTTTTTTTTTTTTTTTTTTGAGACGGAGTTTCGCTCTTGTTACCCAGGCTGGAGTGCCATGGCGCGATCTCGGCTCACCGCAACCTCCGCCTCCTGGGTTCAGGCAATTCTCCTGCCTCAGCCTCCTGAGTAGCTGGGATTACAGGCACACGCCACCATGCCCAGCTAATTTTTTGTATTTTTTTTTTTTTTAGTAGAGACGGGGTTTCACCATGTTGACCAGGATGGTCTCGATCTCTTGACCTCGTGATCCACCCGCCTCGGCCTCCCAAAGTGCTGGGATTACAGGCTTGAGCCACTGCGCCCGGCAATCTTTAGGTTCTTGAAGTTCTTGAAGACCTTATCTTTAAATGAATGAACATTTGGTACAACCTAACTTATGCTGTTGGCTGTTTTATGTACATATGTCTCTTCTCCCTAAATAGATTGTAAGCAGGTATAGTTGTAGCTATAAAAATCAAACCTTTATATTCACTTTAGGCAAATGAAAACAAGACCTGGAGAAGTCCTTATTGATTGTTTAGATTCAATTGAAGACACCAAAGGAAATAATGGAGACAGAGGTGAGTATATTTTACATGTATTTTACATTCCTGGTTTAATTTACAAATGTTGAATCATATTAGCTAGAGAATATATGAAACAGCATCATTTTTCAGTGTAATTGTGAAAATGGGAGAGTTAAAACCATGTAAGACTTTTTTCAGATTTAAATAGAAGAAAGGGTAGGCATTAAACTTGTAGTTTGGTCCTTTACGAAATCCTAGTTCTAACATCACTTTTATCCAATGTAACTGTTAAAACTCAAGGAGGGGCCGGGTGCGGTGGCTCACGCCTGTAATCCCAGCACTTTGGGAGGCCGAGGTGGGTGGATCACAAGGTCAAGAGATCGAGACCATCCTGGTCAACATGGTGAAACCCCGTCTCTACTAAAAAAAAAAAAAAATACAAAAAATTAGCTGGGCATGGTGGCACATGCCTGTAATCCCAGCTACTCAGGGGGCTGAGGCAGGAGAATTGCCTGAACCCAGGAGGCGGAGGTTGCGGTGAGCCGAGATCGCGCCATTGCACTCCAGCCTGGGTAACAAGAGCGAAACTATGTCTCAAAAAAAAAAAAAAAAAAAACTAAAAAAAAAAAAAAAAAAAACTCAAGGAGACCTGTTTGCAAGGGGCATTAGTTCTGACCGTTGGACCTGTCTCCCCAAAAAAAGGATATGGGGTAGTGAACTATAAGTATATCATAGCTGTAGTACCTGGAGCCATGCTTCCCTTTAAAAAATTCAGGTGTTAGGCCAGGCATGGTGGCTCACGCCTGTAATCCAAGCACTTTGGAGGCCAAGGTGGGTGGATCACCTGAGGTTGGGAGTTCAAGAAAAAATTCAGGTGTAATGCACCATCAATCACCTATGGTTGTCACCTAGACACGGATATGTGGGGAACAAATTTAATGCTGCACTGTGAAATCTATTTGTAGGTCAAGTACTAGAAAATCCTGTGAGACTTAGCTCTGACTGTCACTGGGGACCAGCGCGGCTGGACCCTAGAGTCCCTCCCAAACCAAATCTCCCCAGGGTTGGAACTTTTAAAAGTCCAGGCTGCCTATAGCAGCTGTCTGTGGAGCCAATGACCAGTAGGTCTTGGAAGCATCTTCAAGGAAAAAAATAGAAGATGTGGAATGGCAGCTTAATGTATCCAGAAAATGTTTTAGGGGAGAGGAGGTTTAGGAGGGAGGGACATAAACCTCTTACCTGAAAGGCGTAAGTGGGGAAATAGAGCAGACTTCTTTCAGGAAAGGGGGAATCAATAAATCCTCAAGAAGGAATGGTAACCCTTATTGGCAGAACATGCTTACTGTACCCCTTTTGACTGGCTGCTTGCTTCCTGAGACTTTCTTGTGATCAGCTCTAGGTTGGCATGTAGGCAGCAGGCCCTTTTGTAAGCTTTTCTTCTCTGAGGGTGGTTCACCTCAGAGACCTTATTTTTAAATGCATGAACTTTTGGTATAGTATTATTTATGCTGCTGGCTCTTTTGTATACATATGTCTCAAACTCCTGACTTCAAATGATCTACCTACCTTGGCCTCCCAAAGTGCTAGGATTACAGGCATAAGCCACTGCTCCTGGCTAATGTACATATGTCTCTTTTCTCCCTAAACAGATAGATAGTAAGCAGGTATAGTGGTAGCTATAAAATTAAGACCTTTATATTCATTTTAGGTAAATGAAAACAAGACCTGGAGATTTAGATTCAATTGAAGACATCAAAGGAAATAATGGAGATAGAGGTGAGGGTGGTTCCTCTCAGAGAAGAAATGCTTCCAAAGAGGCCTGCTGCCTACAGGCCACCACCTATAGGCAGATCCTTTTAGTGGCTGGGGCCCATCCTTAAAGTAATGCTTAGATCACACTTCTAAAATGCTTCCTGGTGTCTGTCAGGCTCAGATGAGAGTGGAATATGAAGATATAGCAGCAAAAAAGTCTTAGTTTGTGCTTTTGAGAGTGGAAAAATAATCCCAACTGTCAAGATGGCTGTATCTTGACAAAATCTGAATTAACTTGAGAAAGCCAAGATAAAGTTTCATACAGATTGGCAGGAACTTTTAATAGAACATTTTTCACTTCTTCAAATACTCATTGAGTGCAGAATCCTGTACTAATACTTCAGAGTAGGAAGGACAGAAAGCCTCCCTGACCAGAAATCTCCAGTGCCTGAAATCCTCCTATTAATAAAAACAGACCAACTACAGTGGCTCATGCCTACAATTCCAGCACTTTGGGAGGCCAAGGTGGGAGAATTGTTTAAGGCCAGGAGTTAAGACACCAGCCTGGGCAACATAACAAGATCCTGTCTCTACACAAAAATAAAAAGAATTAGCCAAGTATGGTGGTGCGTGCCTGTGGCCCCAGCTACTGGGGATACTGAGGTGGGAGGATCACTTGAACCCAGGAGGCTGAGACTGCAGTAAGTCATGTTCGTGTCCCTGCACTTGGCCTGGGTGACAGTGCAAGACCCTGTCTCAAAATAAAATAGAAATAACTATGTGTGTGCACAGACCTCAAAAACCTTTTGAAATTTTACAGGAGTATACAGCGCTTCTGACCATTAAGGAGTTGAAAAATGGAAGGCGAATCCTGCTTTCTAGCCCTCCACTTCCCCTCCCTTTCAGCAGTTTGGAAATGATCAAGTTAAGGCATTGCCAAGTTCAAGAGCCCTTATGTTAAAACTGTAAATAACCCAGAAGATTAGCACATTTAATCAATTTTCATCTGTTAGTACCCTAACTTGAAATTACCAGATTAGCTTTGCACAGTGCCTATAGCTCATAGCCTAGTTGTAGAGATAAAATGTTGCTTAGGTAAAATGTCATAGAGAAAACATAACCAGTGTATCTATAACAAAGTTATAGAAATGAGTTTGTACAGGATTAAAATATTTAATAGCTGTGTGAGAATAAGAGACAGCTATATTTCAGTGTTTGGGAGATCAGTAGAAACAGGGACAACCATATTTTGGTATTAGGCAGGATGGAGAGGAAACTCCACGTGTGGAACACTGGGTTTGGAGCTGTTAGCTGGGGTCCTTCAGCAGAAAAGAAGTAGGGTTAAAAATCGTAGAGATTGGCCGGGCACGGTGGCTCAAGCCTGTAATCCCAGCACTTTGGGAGGCCGAGGGGGGCAGATCACGAGGTCAAGAGATCAAGACCATCTTGGTCAACATGGTGAAACCCCGTCTCTACTAAAAATACAAAAAAAATTAGCTGGGCATGGTGGCGCATGCCTGTAATCCCAGCTACTCAGGAGGCTGAGACAAGAGAATTGCCTGAACCCAGGAGGCGGAGGTTGCAGTGAGCCGAGATCGTGCCATTGCACTCCAGCCTGGGTAACAAGAGCGAAACTCCGTTTCAAAAACAAACAAACAAACAAACAAAAACAAAAACAAAAAAATCATAGAGATTGTAGGAGATATTCCAGGAGCAGAGAAAAAAGCAAACAGGTGGTTGGGGTTTTATGTGGCAAACTCTTCCCACTCCATAATTTCTCTTGGGACTGACAGAAAAATATAAAAGAATCAGTAGGTGTCCTGAGCCCATAGCCCATTTGTAGAAACAAAATGTTGCCTAGGTAAAATGGCATAAGGAAAGCCAGTGTATCTATAACAAAAAAAGTCAAAAATTAGTTTGCAAATGATTATTTTTTAAGTAACTGTTATTTTGGGAATGTTTATTGTTTGCCAGTCACTGTTCTGAATCTTTCATATAGATATAATCTCATTTAACAATAATAAAAATAGTAAAACAAAAAATTTAAAGTAAATGCAGTCATATTTATTTTCAAATGAGGAAACTGAGGGATAGAGAGGTTAGTTCACTTTTCCAAGGTCATGTAGCTAAGTAATAAACCTAACTGCCTACATTGATTTCTAAACCGGTAGATTCACATTATTCTCTTCTCAAAAATTTTTAGTCCTTCCCAATTCCAATGCTAAACACCACCCCCAACTCAACTGCCTCTATTGCTAATAGGTTCAAGTCTGAATTTTTTTGTGTAGCATTAAAGGACTTCTAGTATGTCCAAAAACAATGTTTATCACCTGTGCTGCTATATTCCATTTGTCCTTCCAGGTCTGGCATTCTTCTCCACCCTTTTCCCTTTGCCCTGGAAACATGATTTGTGTAGAGTACATCTAAGGGTTCCTTGGGTACTCTGGCTTCCAGTTGGAAGAGTCATGGCAGAAGATCAAAAAGAGGCAGGAGCATGAGGTCTGGGTATTTATTCCCCTGGTTCCTTCTCAGTGGGAGGTTGGCTATCTCTCCTCTCAAAGCAGTCAGCTCCATAGGACTCTTGTTTTTTCCAGATTTCATTAACTGCTGCTCCCTCTTTTGTAAATAAACCTCAGTTATCCTAACTTGAGCGTACCATCTATTTTCCATTGGACCAATGACTGAAAGATGCAATACCTAGTCTTCTACGATCTTGTATGAACCTTACACTCCAGCCATGCTGGATTACTTATTATTTGTCAGACATCTATAATTTTCCACAATCTCCCTTGAGAATGCCTTTACCTTTTTTTTTTTTTTAAGATGGGGTTTCACCATGATGGCCAGGCTGGTCTTGAACTCCTGACCTCAGGTGATCCACCCACCTCGGCCTCCCAAAGTGCTAGGATTACAGGCTTGAGCCACCGAGCCTGGCCGCCTTTACCTTTTTTAAAGCCACCTTTGTTATCCAGTTTCACTCTAGTATTCATACAGACCTAGTTTCTCTGATTTTAGACATTCTAGAGGTTTTCAGAAAGAGTATGACCTGGCTGGCTATAGATTACTCATCAAAAGAATTTTATGGTTGTAATTTGTTGGTGAAATAATGTGTTTAAACGAAATAAGTCTTACTATTTCAGAATATCTCAAAGCTATCATAAAATGCTAATTTGTATTATACATCTCTAATACACCTAGCATGCCATTCTCAAATTTATTTTTTTTCTTGGAGCATCTATAAGGGATCACTGTTGTACAGGACACATTTTGAGGAATGAAGTGTCTAACTTTGTATTTCAGTGTATGAACATCAGTCTGATGCTAAGATCAAAAAGTATAAAGCCTTAAGTAGACTTCAGCCTGACCATAAGTTCTTAGGAACAAAGTAGTTTGCTCACAGCAAAATTGTGTGTATAAATATATGGTTCATTTAAATGAGAACTGCTGAGAAAGTACTCATATATCAAGAATTAGTGTGTATGTGAGAGTTCTTTGAAAAATCGCAATTTCAATGAATGGCTGTGTAATTATCCTGTATTCATTCTCAGTTGACTTGTTGGGACCCCAGAACAGCTTCTACTAAGACAAAAAAACTAGTGCACAAGTCTTTCCTCAGTCAGTTTGAGTTAGATCAAAGCTACTGGTAGAGAACATCTGTATCCCTTATATAACTGTCAAATTTTGTTTCTCTAGGATTCTGAATGATACATTGTATACTTATATAGGTTGGATATGCACAATATTTTCAGTTAATAAACATATGAAAACTATCTATAAGTGTTGCTTCTGATACTAAGCCAGAAGTTCCATATCCACTTCATTCAGTGCTGCAAAATGGGTCCTTATTTAAGTTAACCTATTTTTGTCTGTCTGCTTTTAGGTAGACTCTTGGTAACAAATTTAAGAATTCTCTGGCACTCTTTGGCATTACCAAGAGTCAATGTTTGTAAGTATCTTGGTTAGATAAGTCTGAAGAAAAAAAAACCCTTTGTCACGTGAACTTGCATGGTGCCTTTGATACCAAAGAAGTATGTGGAAATACGTGGAAATCTTTTTTTTCTCTTCTTTTTGAGACAGAGTTTCACTCTTGTTGCTCAGGCTGGAGTGCAATCATGCAATCTCGGCTCACCACAACCTCCACCTCCCAGGTTCAAGCATTTCTCCTTCCTCAGCCTCCCAAATGGCTGGAATTACAGGCATGCACCACCATGCCTAGCTAATTTTGTATTTTTAGTAGAGACAGGATTTCTCTGTGTTGGTCAGGCTGGTCTCAAACTCCTGACCTCAGGTGAGCCACCCGCCTTGGTCTCCCAAAGCGCTGGGATTACAGGTGTGAGCCACAGCGCCGGACTAGAAATCTTAAGTTAATAAAAACAAAAAACCGTCAGAAATCCTAGACATGATAATGCAAACAGAATTATCCATTATTGTTTTGATCTGTCCATTTTGTGTCTTGGAAATATGTGAGATTAGGGCTTTAACCTTGGTTATTTTTTAATTTTTTTGATAACATGCTATCACCTGTTTAATCCCAAAGAAGTAAGATACAAGCTGTAATAAAAGTATAATATTTTCATTGTGTTAAATTTTGTTTCACTTTTTTTTTTTGAGATGGAGTTTCGCTCTTGTTACCCAGGCTGGAGTGCAGTGGCGTGATCTCGGCTCACCACAACCTCTGTTTCCTGGTTTCAAGCAACTCTCCTGCCTCAGCCTTCCGAGTAGCTGAGACTACAGGGGTGCACCACCATGCCCAGCTAATTTTTGTATTTTTAGTAGAGACAGGGTTTCACCATGTTGACCAGGATGGTCTCGATCTCTTGACCTTATGATCCACCGGTCTCAGCCCCCCAAAGTGCTGGGATTAATAGGCGTGAGCCACCACGCCCGGCCTTCACTAATTTTTTTAAAGTATTTTAGATTATCCAGCTAGACTTGTTCTTTTGATGACGTAGTGCTAAAACTTGCAGTAAATAACGTTGCAGAGGCTTTAGGGATGAAGACTTCCTTTTTCTCGTGTTATGTTTTTGTTTGTTCAAAGAGACAGAATTAACCTTCTAGTTTTTTTTTTAATTATTTAAATTTATAGTTATTTCTTTTAAACTTTTAAAAGTGTATTTCTATATATGTTTAATTTCTAAACTGTTAAAAGTTCTGTATATATATATATATATATATATATATATATTTTTTTTTTTTTTTAGAAAAGTATTTTTCTCAGTGTACCATATCATGTTCTTTACATTCTTTGCTTTTGGATTTTAGCTGTCGGTTATAATTGCGTACTGAATATTACAACAAGGACTGCTAACTCTGTAAGTCTAAAAATTATTATTGAAATATGTATATATAGTAAAGAAACTAGATATTTGAGGTTGATGTTTGTTTTCACTATAAAGGAAAAATTGCTCCTAAAATCTGAACTTCTAAATAAATTTGTCTTTACAGAAATTACGAGGCCAAACTGAAGCTCTTTATATACTAACAAAATGTAACAGCACTCGTTTTGAATTTATATTTACAAACTTGGTTCCTGGGAGCCCTAGACTTTTTACTTCTGTGATGGCAGTACACAGGTATAGTAATACTTTATGGATTATTTAATATTTTTAGCTTATTCTATGGTTTTAGACTGCAACAGTCCCGAACCTTTCTGGCACCGGGATCAGTTTTATGGAAGACAGTTTTTCCATGGACTGGGTGAGGGTATGGTTTTGGGACGATTCAAGTGCATTACATTTATTGTGCAATTTATTTCTATTATTATTATTATATACTCACCAAAAGGTAGAATCAGTGGGAGCTCTGAGCTTGTTTTCCTGCAACTAGATAGTCCCATCTGGGGGTGATGGGAGACAATGACAGATCATCAGGCATTAGATTCTCATAAGGAGCACACAATATAGATCCCTTGCATGTGCCGTTCACAATAGGGTTCACATTCCTATGAGAATCTAATGCCACTGCTGATCTGATAGGAGGCATAGCTCAGCTTTGTTTGCTCACTCACCTGCCCACCGTTCACCTCCTGCTGGGCAGCCTGGTTCCTAACTGGCCACTGACTAGTACCCATCTGTCTGTGGCCCAGGGATTGGGGACCCCTGTTTTAGAGAATAAAGCTTAGAAGTGTGGTACTGTTTTCTTCCAAGCTCTATTGTAAATATCAGGAAGATACTGAGAAGAACACGTTTCATTATCATTTAATAAACACTTTGAAGGTATTTATAAAACACATAAAACTAAAGATTCATTAAAAATTTCTACTGATGGGCAGATTAGATTAGCTACCAAGATAGGTAAAGTGAAATAAAGAGTTCAATATACCTAAACAAGTTGCATAATTAAAAGTACTTTTCTAGCAGGTAGAAGGCATGTTTGAATGTCTTCCCTAAAGAGTTTTGTTGATTTTTTTTTTTTTTTTTGGTTTGTGGCTTTTTTATTTATTTATTTTTTTTAAAGTAAAAATAGGGTCCTGCTTTGTCACCCGGGCTGGAGTATAGTGGTGCCGTCATAACTCACTGAAGCCTCAAACTCCTGAGCTCAAACGATCTTCCTGCCTTAGCTTCCTGAGTAGCTAGAACTACAGGCATGTGATGCCATGTCCTGCCAATTTTTTAAAAGTGTTTTTGTAGAGCTGTACGTGGTGGCTTACGCCTGTAATCCCAACGCTTTGGGAAGCTGATGTGGGTGGATCATTTGAGGTCAGGAGTTCAAGACCAGCCTGGGCAATGTGGTGAAACCCTGCCTTTACTAAAAATACAAAAAAATTAGCTGGGCATGGTGGCACATGCCTGTAATCCCAGCTACTCAGGAGGCTGAGGCAGGAAAATCGCTTGAACCAGGGAGATGGAGGTTGCAGTGAGTTGAGATCACTCCACTGCACTCCTGCCTGGGTGACAGAGCAAGACTCCGTCTCAAAAAAAAAAAAAAAAAAAATTGTAGAGATGGGATTCTCACTTTGTTTCATAGGCTGGTTTCCAGTTCGTGGGCTCAAGTGAGTCTCCTGCCTCAGCCTCGTAGAGTACTGGGATTACAAATGTGAGCCACTTCACCCAGCCTGTTCTTTTTTTTTTTAATTACTTATTTTTTCTTCTTGTGGTTTGCTAAATTCTTCTCTTTTTACTGCCTCAGCTTTTTTTTCTTTTTTAAACCAGCCCTAAGTACTATGATTTTTTTAAAAATGTGTGTATATAATTGTTTAATTTGTATTTGCCAGTGAAGTTGACATTTTTAATCTATTTTATGTATGTTTTGGTTTCTTAGAAGCTTCTTAATTATACCCTTAGCTGTCATATATATTGCCAATATTATTTTTAGTTTCCTAGTTTGTTATTTGATTTTTAATTTTATTCATGTTTTGATCTATATAATGGTTTAATTTTTTAATTGAAATACAATTTACATAAAATTCTACATGTAAAATTTACAATTTTAAAGTTTACAGTTTGATAGTTTTAGTATATTCACAATATTATTCAACGATTGTGAAGATCCAATTTCAGAATATTTTCATCATTCCCAAAATAAACCCCTTACCCATAGCATTCATTCTCCATTCCCTTACCTCAGCAGTCTCTGATAACCTCTAATTTACTATGTGTCTCTATGGAATAGAGTAGAATCATATAACATGTGGCCTTTTATGCCTGACCTCTTTCACTTACACAGTGTTTTCAAGGTCCATTCATGTTGTAGCATGTATAAGTAGTAGTTCATTCCTTTTTGTAGCTAAATAATATTCCATTGTATGGATGTACCACATTTTGTTTATCTGTTCATGAGTTGATGGACTTTTAGTATTTTATTTCTTAGTGATTATGAGTAATGTTACTATGAATATTTGTGTATAAGTTTTGTGTGAACATATGTTTTCAATTCTCTTGGGCATACACCTAAACCTTAGCTCTTTATTTCATTTAGAGAAGTACTGTGAAAAGTTCTAAATGGAATATGAAAAGAACAGAAGCTGCTTTTCTTAAATAATATTAAAAACATTAGGCTGGGCATGGTGGCTCATGCCTGTAATCCCAGCACTTTGGGATGCCAAGGCGGGTGGATCACCTGAGGTCAGGGTTTGAGACTAGCCTAACCAACATGGTGAAACTCTGTCTCTTAAAAAAAAAAAAAACCAGTTATTTTAAAATATATATATATATATATATATAATGTGCTTCCCCCCAAAAAATAATAATTTATAGCATAAATAGTTTCCATTTCTTCCACTGGTTAAGTATTGATGATAACACAACTAAAGAAAATTAAGACTTATAAGCATAATACTCAAATTCTGCTCTTTCACAACTTACATATTAGAAGATTAAAGTAAAAATTAAAGTTCAACACTGAATATAATTTATATAAGTGAATTCTTATGTTATTAAGGTTAAGAATACTTTTGTTAAATAGGTAACTTAGCCTGTTTTATGTGAAAGATTAAAATTAACTAATCAAAAGTTAATTGGGGTTTCTTTCTGTGTTTATTATCAGTAGACATTGAAAAAAATTACAGGGATTCAGGCCAGGCGTGGTGGCTTACGCCTGTAATCCCAGCACTTTGGGAGGCCGAGGCAGGCAGATCACAAGGTCAGGAGTTCAAGACCAGCCTGGCCAACATGGTAAAACCCCTGTAGCTGGGACTACAGGCGTGTGCCACCATGCCCAGCTAATTTTCGTATTTTTAGTAGAGACGGCGTTTTACCATATGGACCAGGATGGTCTCAATCTCTTGACCTCGTGATCCACCCACCTCGGCCTCCCAAAGTGCTGGGATTACAGGCATGAGCTACCCCGCCCGCCCTAAGAAAAAGTATTAATAATTGGATGCCTGTTTATGTCCTTTGAAAAACAAGGAAATGAAGAAAAGGTAGCATTTTGATAGGAAAAACAATTTCCATATGTATTTAAAAATAGGTTATTGTGATAAAATATGGAAATACTATACTGACAAAATCTACAAAAAACTGTAATTGCCAGACCTTTTTAAAAAGAAAAATATAGCTGGGTGTAGTGGCACATGCCTATAGTTCCAGGTACTCTGGAAGCTGAGCCAGGAGGATCACTTGAGCCCAGGAGTTTGTGTCCAGCTTTGTTTGAGTGATGTACATAAATACTAACAACTATATGTTTTAGTAAATAAGTAAACATAACCCCAGAAAATCACATCTTCAGTTTGGGTTGTCTTTTGTCTGTTCTTTTTCACAGAGCATATGAAACTTCTAAAATGTATCGTGATTTTAAATTGAGAAGTGCACTAATTCAGAACAAACAATTAAGACTGTTACCACAAGAACATGTATATGATAAAATCAATGGAGTATGGAATTTATCCAGTGATCAGGTATTGTGCAAAGAACTAGTGAACCTTTTGGGACAGTGTTTTGGTAATCATTTTTCCATTCGTCATTGGATTTATATAGTCAATTCTAATTGTTAAAATTAGCATTCTAGGAAAGAATATTATTTTTCAATAAGCACAAGTTAGGTTGACAGTAACATTCCTATTTTCAATTTAATAAAATGGTATTCCAGTCCTGGACTGTCTCTTTAATTAATGAATCAAAAATTACTCGTGCTATGCTAGGTGGTAAAGATCTAACTATGGAACTCCTACCCTTATAAACAATGCAATCTAATGTGGATTGATGGGGGTTATTACATATGTTTTGTTTCTCTTTCTTGCCACAACTTCTTTGCTTTGACCTATCCAAGGTTTTGAATACTAATTTTAGTAAGGTCTGACATTTGTAGGTTGCTTACTATGTGCCAGGCACTGTGCTAAGGGATTTATTTACATGGGATATTTAATCAGATCTCCATTTTTACATTTGACAAAATACATCAAGAAGAAATTTCCCCATGGTCAGACAGTTGGTAGGTACTAATGGTTTAATGATTAGGCAGCCTGACTCCAGAGTCCAGGCTGTTAGTTATCTAATTGTACTACTATCAATGAATGATGAAGTCATTGATACTCAATTTTGGTATTATTTGCTGCTGTAATAAGAATTATTCTGGTGATTAGAAAATAAATAATAGGTATCCAAAAAATGATCATTTCTGTATCTCTCATTACTGTCTTTTACAGGGCAATTTAGGAACATTTTTTATTACCAATGTGAGAATTGTGTGGCATGCAAATATGAATGATAGTTTTAATGTCAGTATACCATATCTGCAAATTGTAAGTACATACATTTTGATGACCTTATTTTCATGTAGAATAAATATTTTTTGTTCAATAGTTAGTTAATGGGACTTTTAGGATTAGATGAGTTCTTGCCCCCCACCCTCTTTTTTTTTTTTTGGAGACAGAGTTTCGCTCTTGTTACCCAGGCTGGAGTGCAATGGCACAATCTCGGCTCACTGCAACCTCCGCCTCCTGGATTCAGGCAATTCTCCTGCCTCAGCCTCCTGAGTAGCTGAGATTACAGGCACATGCCACCATGCCCAGCTAATTTTTTGTATTTTTAGTAGAGACAGGGTTTCACTATGTTGACCAGGATGGTCTCGATCTCTTGACCTGGTGATCCACCCGCCTCGGCCTCCCAAAGTGCTGGGATTACAGGCTTGAGCCACCGCGCCCGGCCCTTGCCCCCTTTTTTAAGTGGTAGCAGTTATTAGCTGAGAGTATATTGTAAAGATGTTGATAATTTACTATGAAATATTTCAACACAGAAAATATCTAATTGTGCTTACTTTCCAGAGAAGCAGCACTATTACCAGCTTGCTATTAGAAGGGAAATATACTGGATTCTAAAAATTTAAATAGTTATACAGAGTGAGGTGTCTCTCAGATCCCATCCAGAGGGCTTTAACTATTAAAATTTTCTGTAACCTTTTTGTGAAGCAAGTATACAGTGGTTCCTTGGCATAGCTTTAGCACACTAATCCAGAGTTTTTCTTTTTTTTTTTGAGACAGAGTTTCACTCTTGTTACCCAGGCTGGAGTGCAATGGCGCGATCTTAGCTCACCGCAACCTCCGCCTCCTGGGTTCAGGCAATTCTCATGCCTCAGCCTCCTGAGTAGCTGGGATTACAGGCACGCGCCACCAAGCCCAGCTTATTTTTTGTATTTTTTTAGTAAAGACGGGGTTTCACCATGTTGGCCAGGATGGTCTCGATCTCTTGACCTCGTGATCCATCCACCTTGGCCTCCCAAAGTGCTGGGATTACAGGCGTGAGCCACCGCGCCCAGCCCCCACAGTTTTTCTTGACTCTCTTGTCACTTTCTGCTCCAAAACTTTTACAAGCCAGAAGGATTTATTAATTCTTAATTCTGTGAATGGACTGCTTTCATTGTATTTAGATTCAGAATGTAATACAAGCTGGTTTCATACCACAGATTTAATGAAAGGAATCAAGATGATTTTTAGTAATAATACTTTCAGCTTAAGTTCAGTTAAAACTATTAAAATCAGGCTGGACATGGTGGCTCATTCCTGTAATCTCAGTACTTTGAGAGTCTGAGATGGGAGGATTGCTTGAGGTCTGGAGTTCAAGACCAGCATGGGCAGCATAGCTAGACCCTTTGTCTATTTTTTTTTTTTAACAAAAAAACCGAAACAATTAAAATTCAAAATAATAACTGACTATATCTGAGACCAATTTGTTTGGGGAGTAGGTAAAGATAGTTCTTTTTACTCTGCTGCTGCTATGGTAAATAAGTGACTCAGTGAAACAAACTGTAAATTCCAATACACTAAGTAATTTTGTTTTATGTAAAAAAAACTACTTTCAGAATTCTAGTACAAATTAGATGGAACATAAAAATAGTTAATGAAAATCACATGAGTTTATCCTGTGATAACTGCCCTTATTGTAGGATGTATTGTCTTAAGACTAGGGAGTCGGCCGGGCGCGGTGGCTGAAGCCTGTAATCCCAGCACTTTGGGAGGCCGAGGCGGGTGGATCACGAGGTCGAGAGATCAAGACCATCCTGGTCAACATGGTGAAACTCCATCTCTACTAAAAATACAAAAAATTAGCTGGGCATGGTGGCGCGTGCCTGTAATCCCAGCTACTCAGGAGGCTGAGGCAGAATTGCCTGAACCCAGGAGGCGGAGGTTGCAGTGAGCCGAGATCGCGCCATTGCACTCCAGCCTGGGTAACAAGAGCGAAACTCCGTCTCCAAAAAAAAAAAAAAAAAAAAAAGACTAGGGAGTTTTATTAATATTTATTGAGTAGACAGAATGTATGTGATACCTAGAAAATACCATTTTTAAGAAAAGAATTGCTGGCCCATGAGATGAATAATTCTTTGCAAAATATTCCCAACCCTATCTTTGGCTAAATTATTTGATTTCTGAGTTTTAAATTTCTGATAATTCATGCATTTATGTGCTAAATTTTGAGCACCTCCTCTGTGCCAGGTGCTAGAGATACAGTCATGAAAATCATGAACCAGTATACAGTTCCTGCCATTAAGGGGCTTTCAGTCTGGTGGAGAAAAACAACATATTAAACAGAAAGTCATAGAATCGCATAGGAAGAGAATTATTTCTGGCCATCAAAAGAAATATAAAAATTTCTAATCAAGGCTGGGACGATGTGACAAAATCTACATAGGTATTTGACAAATTTGTGTTTGTATTACTATTGCTTTTTTATATTGCATTAACATGTTACAGCTTGCCTAACCTAACTTCTATCACACTGAATAATTACTGAGTAGTAAACAACCTTGTGCTTTCTGTTCTTTGCGTTATTTAAGAATAGGGTTGCCAAATATGGCCTCTGGAATGAATTCAAGCCAGCCCAAACAACTTGCAATCTGATATCATCATAGTCTGTCAGGGCCACAGTCATTTTCTAACTTCAGCTCTGCACCTCCACCATTACCCCGACCCTACTCCTATAGATACTATATATCAGCTTCTTGCCAGTTTCTGTCTTACCAGCCTGTGTCACCCACAGACACCTGGTTAGATTACCTATTGAAAGCCAAAGTGCCAGTGTTCTATGATTCTTTTTGTTTCTTTTCTTTCTTTCTTTCTTTCTTTTTTTTTTTTTTTTTTTTGTGGCAGGGGTCTCACGCTGTCACCCAGGCTAGAGTGCAGTGGCACAGTCTTGGCTCACTGCAACTGCCGCCTCCCACGCTCAGGTAATCCTCTCTCCCTCAGCCTCCTGAACAGCTAGAACCACAAGTGTGCATGCCCGGCTAATTTTTTGGTAATTTTGGTAGCAGCAGGGTTTCACCATGTTTCCCAGGCTGGTCTCAAACTCCTGGTCTTAAGCGATCTGCCCATCTCAGCCTCCCAAAGTACTGGGATTATAGGCGTGGACCACTGCCCCTGGCCAGTGTTCTGTGATTCTTAACTGGAATTGTACATATTCTTGTGGGGTATAAAGTAGTCCAGATGAAAGGCCACGTTTTCATAACAATGATCATCAAAGCCTTTCTTCTTTTTCTCAATCTCTCTCTCAAATTTGCCCATCTGTCTAGAAGCATGATATTCCAACATCACCTGCCAGATTACCCTATTGTGGGTTTTCAGTCTGCTAGTCGTAGTGTTAGGTCCTCCATGGTTCTCCCCTACCCTGCCAGCAGGTACATTTTATGTCACTTCTACAGGCCCTACCTGCCATGCTGCTTCTACTGTCCCCTTCTCCCAGGCCTCTGGTCAACGCCCATCTTCCGCTGACCAAGCTTAGTCCTCATATCACATTTATCAGCTGATGTTAATTGCACTTGATCTATCCAAGCCTTCCTTGATGCCTAGTGATAAATATTCAAACTTTTTTTTTTTAAGACAGAGTCATGTTCTGTTGCCCAGCTCACTGCACTCTCTGCCTCCCAAGTTCAAGCAATTCTCCTGCCTCAGCTTCCCAACTAGCTGGGACTACAGGCACTTGCCACCACACCCAGCTAATTTTTTGTATTTTGAGTAGAGACAGGGTTTCACTGTATTATCCAGGATGGTCTCGATCTCCTGACCTCAGGTGATCCACCCACCTGGGCCTCCCAAAGTGCTGGAATTACAGGTGTGAGCCACTGTGCCAGGCCCAAACTTATTTTAAAAACATAAATAAAATAGAGATTCTTTTAAGAATTTAGCCAGCTATGATATAAGAAACAGAAGGCACATGTGACTTTAAAAAACTAATCTAGCCTTAGGAGCTACAAAAGACACTGGCTTACCAAAACTAAAAGATTGCTAGCCTTTTGTTTAAAAGTTGAGGCTGGACACTATGGCTTATGCCTGTATCCCCAGCACTTTGGGAGGCCAAGGCAGGAGGATTGCTTGAAGCCAAGAGTTCAGGATCAGCCTGGGCAATGTAGTGTGACCCCCCTCTCCAAAAAGAAAAGATTAGCTGGGCATAGTGGCACATGCCTGTAGTTCTAGCTCATCAGGAGACTGAGGCAGGAGGAGGATCTATTAGCCCAGGAGTTTGAGGCTGTGGTAAGCTGTGATCACACCATTGTACTCTGGCCTGGGTGGCTGAGTGAGACCTAATTAATTTAATTGTCTCTAATTTTTTAAAAAGTTCGCTCCCTGGAAGTGAGAAATATTTGAGTCTGATAATTTTGTACAGATTTCAGAGCTGCCTTTCTTGTATTGCCTCTTAAAAGTTTACCACCTGTTTTCAATGTGAGTCTTGTTTCTTTTACTTGATCTCTGTGGGAGTTTAATGAAAGGAGGGAGAATTCTGTTCTTTAGACTCTGAAAAGTAAATACTGTGTGAAGTTTAAAAACTGTGTTAAAAAGTCACTATTCAGTTAATAAAAACATGCATATTTGTCTTTTTCATTTTACCTCTAGCGTTCAATAAAGATTAGAGATTCAAAATTTGGTTTAGCTCTTGTCATAGAAAGCTCTCAGCAGGTAAGATCTTGTATATTTTTATTAATATTTGATTTTTAAAACTATGTGACAGTCTAGATTTTTAGTTTTATTTATAATCAGTTTACATCTGAGAATATTCGCTTTAATATGAAGTTTATATGAAGTGTTTGAAGTCTTACAGAAAATGTCCTCAGAGGAAGAATCATGCTTACATTTTTTTGTTGGACAGACATAATCACTTGTGATCATCACTTTTATTATTAATGACAGAATCAAGTCACTGTGCTGAGAGCTCTTCATTCATTATCCCAGTCTTTACACAGTCCTACAATACAGCTACTATTTTCCCTCCATTTTACAGTCAAGAAAACTGAGGCTTAGAGAAGTTAGGACTTTGCCCATGACCTCACAACTAGTAAGTGGTAGAGCTAAGTTTTGATCTCAAGTCTGACTGATTTACCAAGACTGTCCCAGAAAAACACAGCCATATATTTGTGTGTGTACACACACACACACACACACATACAGTTTAAGATCTTATATTCTCACACATACGTATGCTAACTAATTATAACCTTCTATGTTCCGTTATGCCAGGTTTTTGCAGAAATGCATTTGAATAAAACATGCTGGTCTGATGGTAGTAGGTTTGACTGGCTAAGAAAGATTTTAAATACATTTTTTAAAAGTGATTTATAAAATTACTTATCATCTAAATTCTAAATTTAAACATGAATGTCCACTCATTCCTTCCCCTGCCTACAGCTGCCATTTATTGTTTGCTCTGTTTCAAGAACTATATCAAATGTCATATATATATATTTATCTTATTTAATATGACAACTTGATAACCATTTTATGGTTAGAAATTGAGGCTTAAAAAGGTTAAGGAGAGTTTCTGAGTGTCCTACAGCTAGTGAATTAGTGGTAGAACCAGAATGAACATAAGTGCAGTGCTCTCAACCCAGAGCATATACTCTTACCTATTACAGTATGCTACTTAGTTTTCTAACACTCCTCAAAACACTCTATGATGGCCCAGTTTCTTTCCTAATTCTTCAAGGAGATAGCCACAGATGGCCCATTTCCCTTCTTTTCATGTACTCTGTTCCTTTTTAAGGCTTAGCTCAAGAAAAACTTAGTTCTTTTGGCCTTCACAGTCTACAGTATAATTTTTAAATCTTGAAAGTTTACCTTTGATATTTCATATGAAATTATATTTGGATATACTTCAAAATAAGCCTGTGTTGGGGTTGAGGGGTTCAGGTAAGGGCGAGGTTACAGATGAAACACAGTTGGCCACATGTTGCTGCTTCTTGAAGCTGTATGATGGCTCCGTAGAGGCTCCCGTTTTTACTCTTCTCTTTTTGTATATGCTTGAAATTTTTCATAATAAAAAGTTTAATTGAAAAAATGAATTTACATATTGTGCTCTAAAATAAGGACTATCAAATTTATCATATAAATGCAAATGCAATTATTGAGACGTGTTGGTTTTTTTTTTTAAATAATTATTTTCTCTTGTAGAGTGGTGGATATGTTCTTGGCTTTAAAATAGATCCTGTGGAAAAACTACAAGAATCAGTTAAGGAAATCAATTCACTTCACAAAATCTATTCTGCCAGTCCCATATTTGGAGTTGATTATGAGATGGAAGAAAAGGTAATTTGTTGAGTATGTGAAATAAAGTTTGCTGAATTGGTTTTATGCAATCTGTAAAAGTCAAATATAAATATCAGTGTGTACCATTTAATTTTGAACTGTGTTTAATATGCTGAATATACAGATTCTGCTCAAGTGGGCACAGCTCCTGGATTAATACTAATTCGTACCTACCACCTGTCTTCTAACTGGCTGCTTCATCATCCATTCATTCCTACCTTCCATACTTACCCTTGTAGATGGGCAGCCACCTGGATAAATTTCCATGTGCAATGTTCCTCTGATACAGACAGACTTGAGTCTCTCACTCTGTCAGCTTTATTTTTATTTTCAGCCCCTTATTACCATAGGCAAGCCTTATAGGTCTCATGAATACCGTCGTCTTCTTTAGTACTCCAGAGTATAGCAACTCCAAGAGTTGGCTGCATCAACACTGCCTGCATCCATTCCTGTTGATCAGTACCTCTGCCATATCAGTCATGAAATATTTTGCATATCCTGCCTACTTGTCTGCTCTTTGTCTTCCTATGATTTCTTTCCTGGTTGCTGCTGGTATTCCCTGCTCTCCAGGTACATCAGCTTTCTTTTGGCTTCACTTGTCTTTCCAGCTGGGACCCTCATCGTCCAGTCTATCAGTGGTATCCTCACTACCCACTCCATTAGAGTTGTCCTTACTGTCCACTTTATCACCAGTACCCTTGCTAGGGGCACTAGCTCTGATGTACTTGCTGTCCCCTCTATTGTTGGTACCCCCACTGTCTGCTCTATCACTGGGACAGTCACTGTCCATTCTGTCAGAGGTGCTCTTGCCATCTGTTCCACTGCCCTTGTTGTCCTCTCTGTCCTGGTCCTACCACTGATCACTCAGTTGTAGACTCCCTTGCTCTCTGTTCTTTTTTTTTTTTTTGAGACGGAGTTTCGCTCTTGTTACCCAGGCTGGAGTGCAATGGCGCGATCTCGGCTCACCGCAACCTCCGCCTCCTGGGTTCAGGCAATTCTCCTGCCTCAGCCTCCTGAGTAGCTGGGATTACAGGCACGCGCCACCATGCCCAGCTGATTTTTTGTATTTTTAGTAGAGACGGGGTTTCACCATGTTGACCAGGATGGTCTCGATCTCTCGACCTCGTGATCCACCCGCCTCAGCCTTCCAAAGTGCTGGGATTACAAGCTTGAGCCACCGCGCCCGGCCACTCTCTGTTCTTTTACTAGGACCCTCATTATGCACTCTATTGCTGGTGCTCTTGCCATTTCCTTTATAATCAGTGCCCCTGCTGGGGCTCAGCATGCTGAGCCATGTCACAGCCATTACTTATATCTCTCCTTCTGCTCTTGTACTACATCATGTGACTTTAGTAAGGCCCTTATTGCCTGGTAGTGCTCCTTGTACTTAATTTTTTCTCTCCCTATCAAATTCCATATCTTTCTCCTTCTAGCTAAAACTTCCATCTGAGTTGCTGACATTGTATTACATACATTGTATGTATTTCATCATCTGAACCATCCTTTCTTCTTCCCAGCATGCTCTTTCAGCATTCTTCCTTTCACTCTGCCTTCTCTCTATATTCCTTGGTAATATCATCCGCTCATTCAGCATCTTCAACTTGTACTTTTGTGGATGACTCTAGAACTTTCCTTCTGACCTTGACATATTCTTTCAGCTTATGGTTCCAAATACTCTTGAATATTTTCTTTTTTTTTTTTTTGAGACGGAGTTTTGCCCTTGTTACCCAGGCTAGAGTGCAATGGCACGATCTCGGCTCACCGCAACCTCCGCCTCCTGGGCTCAGGCAATTCTCCTGCCTCAGCCTCCTGAGTAGCTGGGATTACAGGCACGTGCCACCATGCCCAGCTAATTTTTTGCACTTTTAGTAGAGACAGGGTTTTACCATGTTGACCAGGATGGTCTCGATCTCTTGACCTCGTGATCCACCCGCCTCGGCCTCCCAAAGTGCTGGGATTACAGGCTTGAGCCACCGCGCCCGGCCTCTTGAATATTTTCATATAGTGAGCATGCCAAATGATATGAGTGGAATTTCTCATTTCAGATTTATCTTAGTAATTTAAATAATTACGCAAGTCAGTAAGATACACTAGGACTTAGATGAGCATCTCAAACTTGGCATATCTAAAACTGGCCTCATCGTTTTCTCAAAAGCAGCAACCTACTGATATATTGATTTGTTTACTTATATATTTTTGGCACTGTCAAAGTCAGCTGTACTCAAAACTTCGAAGTATTCCTTCATTTTTCCCATTATCTTAATTTAAACTTTCAGTTATACTCACCTCTTCCCTTTTTCTAGTTATTACTCTTCCTTGTAGAATAATGTTGTAGAACAAGCATGGTCCTTGGAACCTGACTTTCAATTTGTGATCCTAGGGAAATCTGAGCTTCAGTTTTCTCATAAAATTGAGATAGGGTGGGCCACAGTGGCTTATGCTTGTAATTCCAGCACTTTGGAGTGGCTGAAGTAGGAGAATTACTTGAGGCCAGGAGTTTGAGTCCAACATCAGCATAGTAAGACAACATAGTGACACCCTGTCTCTACTAAATTGTTTTAAATTTTTAAAAATTAGCCAGGTGTGGTGGTGCCCACCTATAGTCATAACTACTCAGGAGGCTGAGATTGAGATCAGGAGTTTGACACTGCAGTGAGTTATGATCGTGCCATTGCACTGCATCCTGGGCAACAGAACAAGACCTGTCTCTTAAAAAAAAAAAAAGAGAGAGAAACAGACATAATCTTTCTTAGAAAGTTAATTGATCATGTCCATAAAATGCCTGGCACATAGGAGACACTTGATATGTTAGTTCCCTGACCCATTTGTTCTCTTCCCCTTTTCTTTGACCCCAGTACATAATAGCAGCTAGCCAGAATATCTCACTGTTCCACTTCATATAAGTCCCTAATCAAATGCCATCTCTTCAGGCTCTTCCCTGACTATTCTTCTAAAACAGCAACTCCCATCACCTTAATTCTGCTTGCTTGCTTTCTCTCTCTCTCTTTCCTCCCTTCCTTTCAGAATTAATCAGTCTCCTCCATTATAACTTACCTCCATGAAGTCAGGGGTTTTTGTCTGTTTAATGACTGTATCTCCAGCTGTTGAAACTAGCACATAATAGGCTCTTAGTGAGTATTTATAGTTGTTGGATGACTATGTTAAACATCTGCTGTTTGTCATTCACTGCTCTAGGAACTTTATATGCACCATCACATTTAATCTTTCCAACAATACTGTGAGAAGTATTATCATTATCCTTATCCCACAGTTAAGGAGACTGAGGCCTAGTTAATTTATTGGCACATAGTCATGCAACGCTGAACGTGGTTGAAACACTGAGGCTATCCTCAGCTTTGTTATAGCTGCTTTTTGTAGGTTGAAGCATATATTGATATTTTATCATTTTTGACTTATAAAAAACGGCAGTTTCATATGGTTCAATATAATAATTATTTGTTATTGAGCTTTATCTTTATCTCTACTCAGTAAATTATAAACCCTTTGTGGGTAAGGGTAGGATTTTATACCATTGGTAGTACTGGCATAGTATCTAATATAACAAAGGGGATATTCAAATATTTGAAAATGAACAAATTAATAAATAGTAGCTCTATATTTTATTCTTTACCTTTAGAACATTCCATAAAAATATTCTTTTACTTTTCACAAATTATATATAATGATTATTTTGAGGAAAATTGAACATTTGCTCTTAGACAAAACTTAGCTTTTCTAAACAATGTAAAAAACTCATAAAAGTCAAGTCAGAGTTTTTTCTTTAAAGATAAATTTGAGTATTGGCCGGGCGCAGTGGCTCAAGCCTGTAATCCCAGCACTTTCGGAGGCTGAGGCGGGTGGATCACGAGGTCAAGAGATCAAGACCATCCTGCTCAACATGGTGAAACCCCGTCTCTACTAAAAATACAAAAAATTAGCTGGGCATGGTGACGCATGCCTGTAATCCCAGCTACTCAGGAGGCTGAGGCAGGAGAATTGCCTGAACCCAGGAGGCGGAGGTTGCGGTGAGCCGAGATCGCGCCATTGCACTCCAGCCTGGGTAACAAGAGCGAAACTCCGTCTCAAAAAAAAAAAAAAAGATATTTGAGTATTAAGTATGTATAAATATCTCTCTTTAGTTCTTTTCATGATATTGACTTCAGATATGAAAGCTTAGGTTTAATTGACTAGTTTTACTACTCGTTAGTTTTTTAATAAAATATACCATGATTTTTATAAGACTTTAGTAGCTTGTAATTGTTATTTTTGTTTTTGTTTTTTTGAGACGGAGTTTCGCTCTTGTTACCCAGGCTGGAGTGCAATGGTGCGATCTCGGCTCACCGCAACCTCCGCCTCCTGGGTTCAGGCAATTCTCCTGCCTCAGCCTCCTGAGTAGCTGGGATTACAGGCACGTGCCACCATGCCCAGCTAATTTTTTGTATTTTTAGTAGAGACAGGGTTTCACCATGTTGACCAGGATGGTCTCGATCTCTCGACCTCGTGATCCACCCGCCGCGGCCTCCCAAAGTGCTGGGATTACAGGCTTGAGCCACCGCGCCCGGCCTGTAATTGTTATTTTTAAAGTATTTGCAGTTCTTATGGTACATTTAATACTGTCTCTGATGCATTTTAACATCTGCTGATTTTCAGCCACAGCCACTTGAAGCTCTGACAGTCGAACAGATTCAAGATGATGTAGAAATAGACTCCGATGACCACACGGATGCTTTTGTGGTGAGCATCATAAAGGAGAGCATTAAATTTCTTAAGGTTTTTATCTCAGTCTTGTTTAATAAAATAATGGTGTAAATTTGTGAAACACCATATAACTTGAGACTTTTGATGGTATCTTAAACATGAGTGTGAAGATGATATTTTTTGTGAGGGATTTCTTTTGTGACAATAACTTTTAAATTATCAAAATCAGAAATACTTTGAGGCCAGGCACGGTGGCTCACGCCTGTAAGCCCAGTACTTTGGGAGGCCAAGGCAGGTGGATTACTTGAAGGCAGGAGTTCAAGACCAGCCTGGCCAACATAGCAAAAATACGTCTCTATAAAAAAAGAAAAAAAAAAACAACAGAAGTATTTTGAAAACACAGTTATTCAGAGAGTTTTAGGATTTTAGATATGTAAAGTTTTTTCATACCATGAATAGAACATGGTAAATATTATAGTTAATTAAATTTAAAATCAGCCGGGCGCGGCGGCTCAAGCCTGTAATCCCAACACTTTGGGAGGCCGAGGCGGGTGGATCACGAGGTCAAGAGATCGAGACCATCCTGGTCAACATGGTGAAACCCCGTCTCTACTAAAAATACAAAAAAATCAGCTGGGCATGGTGGCGTGTGCCTGTAATCCCAGCTACTCAGGAGGCTGAGGCAGGAGAATTGCCTGAACCTAGGAGGCGGAGGTTGCGGTGAGCCAAGATCGTGCCACTGCACTCCAGCCTGGGCAACAAGAGCGAAACTCCGTCTCAAAAAAAAAAAAAAAAATTTAAAATCTATTCTTTCCATAATGAATTTTTATGAAATGTCTTCTCTTAATTTATAGGGATCTTGGTTTTAAAAAGGATATGTATTTGAACAATAGCTTTCCTATTTCCAAATTGGTATCATTTAACTTATAACCAAATTATAGTGCTTTCTCCATTCTATGGCTATAAATCTGACTAGAATACCTGTCTGGTAACAAATGCTTTGAAACAAAGGTGTGAAATTAGTATAAAATAATTATAAACTACTACTACCTCAAACTATATGCATATGCTGACACATTGAAGTACTTGTTTTGTTTTGCCAGTATCTTCTAAACCAAATGTAGGGAAGAAATTTTATAACTTCCAAGTTATTTTTTTCTCTTTTTTACCTGCTTCTTGCTATATGACAATTAAGTCATGCTTTTTTATCTCCTCTCAAGTTAACAGTGCTAATTATATATTACAAACCACATTTTTTAGATCTTTTTTTTTTTTTTTTTTTTTTTTTTGAGACGGGGTTTCGCTCTTGTTACCCAGGCTGGAGTGCAATGGCACGATCTCGGCTCACCGCAACCTCCGCCCCCTGGGTTCAAGCAATTCTCCTGCCTCAGCCTCCCTAGTAGCTGGGACTACAGGCGTGCGCCACCATGCCCAGCTAATTTTTGTATCTTTAGTAGAGACGGGGTTTCACCATGTTGACCAGGATGGTCTCGATCTCTTGACCTCGTGATCCACCCGCCTCGGCCTCCCAAAGTGCTGGGATTACAGGCTTGAGCCACCGCGCCCAGCCATTTTTTAGATCTTAAGGTAAAAGTCTTATAGACTTTAACAGTGAATTCTGCTACCAGCATTGCAGAGACAGGTGAAAAAAATAATTAGATACACAGTAACAGAATATGAAATACATTTATAAAATCATTCTGCAAATTAAGTATCTTAGCCCACTGATCTGTTGGAATCTTGTATGTCCAGTATGTGAAATAGAATTTTCTTTGTCTTATAGGCTTATTTTGCTGATGGCAATAAGGTAAGGACATTTATTTTACCTATAATCTATGAAAAAAGTTTCTATATTCCAAAATTTAGCATTCACAAACTTATGTGAAACCTATCTCTTTGTTTTTTTCCTCCTCTTTGCCCACCTTCTTGATTCCCATCTTATCCTCTTGTCTCCCAAAAAGCAACAAGATCGTGAACCTGTATTTTCAGAAGAACTGGGGCTTGCAATAGAGAAATTGAAGGATGGATTCACCCTGCAGGGACTTTGGGAAGTGATGAGTTGATCTTGAGTTGAGATGGATTTCTATTTAAAGATATCTCAAGTTTAAAGATACTAGTCACCTGCCATAAGTCATGGAATAGTTTTTATATTTACAACTTTTATATTTAAAGTTTTTAAGAGTTTTTTAATGATTAAGGAAAAACTCATTTAGAAAACTTACAGTTTTCTAAAAATTATATTTAAAATTGTAATCAAAATATAACTTGTTTATAAATGTTTATTTTGTACTTAATGCCTGTAAAGTCTTAGTTTTCAGATATTAAGTGACTGTATCATGTTGGGTTTAATAAAGAATTTATGCAGCACCATTTAATGTTTTGAAAGTATTATTTAAACGAGAAAGACTGTTCCTATGGAATAATCAAAATTCTGCTTTCTTTTTTTTTTTGTTGTTGTTGTTGTTTTTGTTTTTTTTTGTTTTTTTTTGTTTTTTTTTTTTTTTTTTTGAGACGGAGTTTCGCTCTCGTTACCCAGGCTGGAGTGCAATGGCGCGATCTCGGCTCACCGCAACTTCCGTCTCCTGGGTTCAGGCAATTCTCCTGCCTCAGCCTCCTGAGTAGCTGGGATTACAGGCACGTGCCACCATGCCCAGCTAATTTTTTGTATTTTTAGTAGAGATGGGGTTTCACTATGTTGACCAGGATGGTCTCGATCTCTTGACCTCGTGATCCACCCGCCTCGGCCTCCCAAAGTGCTGGGATTACAGGCTTGAGCCACCGCGCCCAGCCAATTCTGCTTTCTTAATTATAAAATTTAATAATGGTTTAAATATATTATCCCATGGCTCCTGGCCAGGCATGGTGGCTCATGCCTGTAATCTCAACAATTTGGGAGGCCAAGGCAGGTGGATCACTTGAGGTCAGGGGTTTGCGAGACTAGCCTGGCCAACATGATGAGACCCCCATCTCTACTAAAAATATAAAAATTAGCTGGGCATGGTGGTAGGTACCTGTAGTCCCAGCCATCTGGGAGGCTGAGGCATGAGAATCAGTTGGACTTGGGAGGTAGAGGCTATAGTGAGCCGTGGATCACACCATTGCACTCCAGCTCGGGCAACAGAGCGAGACTCTGTCTCAATAAATAATTACATAGCTCCAAATGTGCACCAACTCTAATACAAACTGTAATTCTTACACTTGTCATTGTTAGGGATCATTTCTATAAAAACTAAAAAAAAATTTTTTTTTAAGACGGGGTTTCACCATGTTGGTCGGGCTGGTCTTGAACTCCCGACCTCAGGTGATCCACCCGCCTTGGCCTCCAAAGTGCTTGGATTACAGGCGTGAGCCACCGCGCCTGGCCAAAACTAAAAATTATAACTAACTATGGAGTACATCAACCACCCTGTAAAATATTTTGGATGCTATTTTGTAAAGAATTTCAATGTAGTTTTGTCAAGAATACATTTACTTTTTAAGAAAATAATTGTGTTTATTAACTTTGTATTTATTGAAACTTGAGATTTTCTTGTTGACCTCTCTAGCATCATTCAGTGGTTTTGACCACTATTTCCATGTAAAATGCATTTTCACATAACTGAAATTAGCCAATGGAGCCCTCTTCTTCCAGGGGGAAAGTATGTAAAAACATCTAAAATAAGATGCAACTCTGTGTACAACCATAGACATACAGTACAACCGAGTGCTAACCTAAGTTTATTAAAAATCAATGAACAAAAGCTACAGATTGGTTTTTTATTTAGAGGGAAAAGGATTTCTACATAGGGTTGAAATTATAATAAACTACCTTTATGACGGAGGGAAAGAGTGTATGGAAGTTCGTACTGGTCACATATAAAATGCTGCCATAACTGTTGTTTAAATATTGTTTTTCAAGCAATAAGAGACTTTATAAAATTGCCGACTAGTAAGGAATAATCTCAGATGTCATATGGTGTTTGCCTCTGACTCATTAATCTTTTCAAATGTTAGATGTTAAGTGTAGAGAAATGAGTCATTTATTGTTTAAACAAGGAAGCAGCTGTTAGTTTTTTCTAGTGTGTTAAAACCTTTAGTGACATCTATAAATGGAAAAAGAGTCAGTGAGCTCTTCTTTCAGCTGTTGTTTTAGCAGCTGACAGTACCATTGACTTCACTGTGATGTAAAATAAAAGAAAAAGCCTTTACTCATGGATAGAGACCTTAAAGTTTAAAAATACATAATTCCCTGATCTGGGCGTTCCTTCGTTCAACAAATATTTATGAAGCACTCACGAAACCCCTAGGCTATAGCATTTGAAAAGACACTCCCACAATCCCTGTCTTCTTGGAGTTTATGTCTTTTTGGGCATGTGTACGAATACAAACCTTGAAATTACAGTATTTCTACAGCCCTACTTGAGTTTAGATAATGTTACAGTATGACTCTAATAATCTGTAATAAAGTAATGAAGTATATGATACCATCTATATATAAACAAAGGACCAGTTTTCTTTCAAATCATGACGTCTACATCCATAATTAATATGGTATTCTTTTATAATCAACTTATGTCCCCAGTTATATACTCTTTTTTTAAAAAGGTGGGGGCTGTTCTCTCTGACTGCTGTAGGACTTCATCTTGACTGCTGTGTTCTAGTGATAACATTGTTCTCATGGGATAATACCTGTTTTATTTTTTAACCTTTAATGAATAATTTTTGGCACTTAAAACTACAGATTAGTGATCTTTGTATGTGTGTGGACTTTTTCATTCCCTAGCATTGACTTTTAACTATTTTTTTCTGGCCCTGTGATTCCTTTTAACCTTTTGCTTTTATTTTACCTTATTATTGTTTGCCACATTATATCCTTTGTACAACATGGCAGGATATGAACAAATAATTTTATAGTTTAATTCAATATTAATTAGTTTTTCCACAGAATAAAAATAGTTTGAAATGTTTTAGAAAATTAGCAACTCCTCTGCATTCCTTATTTCAGTTATCATGGCAACATTAAAAGTTTTGTAAAACTATAGTACATAAGTAAACATCTTCAGTTTACTACTTCTAAAAGAAATATCTATATCCTGTTTTGAGTAGAAAGTAAAAATTTGTATGTAACAATTATTGGAAATGGGATCTTGCTTATGAGTATTCAAATAAGCACATCTCATATTCTTGACCTTTACATCATTAATTAACAGAGCCAAGTAGCTTGACACTAGAATGTATTTAGAGGAGTGATTCATTTTTATGATTCATTTTTATGATTCATTTTTCTGTTAATTCAATAAACATTTTCTTGTAGTAGCCTTTATTAGTATATCGCCTAATGCATTATGTATTTTTAAGCTTTCAACTTCACTTAAATGTCTTGCTTCTTAGCTGTTTCCTTAGTGATTAAAAGTTCCAGTTGTTACTTTCAATCTATAACAGCTGCTACAAGAACTCTTCTTTCCAAGCCAGCTCTCCTAAATTCCCGTTGTTAGAGTTGGTATCTATATTTAGCTGGTGGGATTAAATTGCAAGGTCTTCAAGCCGGGCAAAGCACACTGATCTCTGCCTTTTTACAGCTAGACCGCTAGACTCGTGTGCTACAAGGAGCTAAGGCCTTCAGTGTCCCCTTCCTTACCCAGGTTACTCGCAGAATGGATTCCCAGCGGGAACTTGCAGAGGAACTGCGGCTTTACCAATCTACCCTTCTTCAGGATGGTCTAAAAGATCTCCTGGATGAGAAAAAATTCATCGATTGCACCCTAAAAGCAGGTGACAAAAGTCTTCCCTGCCACAGATTGATTTTGTCAGCTTGTAGTCCTTACTTCCGTGAGTACTTTTTATCTGAAATTGATGAGGCGAAAAAAAAGGAGGTAGTATTAGATAATGTGGATCCTGCTGTACTTGATTTAATCATCAAATACCTGTACTCTGCCAGTATTGATCTCAATGATGGAAATGTGCAAGATATTTTTGCATTGGCCAGCCGCTTTCAGATCCCCTCAGTGTTTACTGTCTGCGTTTCTTATCTTCAGAAAAGACTTGCTCCTGGTAACTGTCTAGCCATCCTAAGATTAGGACTTCTTCTTGACTGCCCGAGACTCGCCATTTCTGCCCGTGAATTTGTGTCTGATCGCTTTGTACAGATTTGTAAGGAAGAGGACTTTATGCAGCTGTCTCCACAGGAACTGATCTCAGTCATTTCAAATGACAGCCTAAATGTAGAAAAAGAAGAAGCAGTCTTTGAGGCAGTGATGAAATGGGTGCGAACTGACAAGGAAAACAGGGTTAAAAACCTTAGTGAAGTGTTTGATTGTATCCGTTTTCGCCTTATGACAGAAAAATATTTTAAGGATCATGTTGAGAAAGATGATATAATTAAAAGCAACTCAGAACTCCAGAAAAAAATCAGAGTTCTAAAAGATGCTTTCGCAGGCAAACTCCCAGAACCTAGCAAAAATGCGGAGAAGTCTGGGGCTGGCGAGGTGAATGGTGATGTTGGTGATGAAGATTTACTTCCTGGTTACCTGAATGACATTCCCAGGCATGGAATGTTTGTAAAAGACCTCATCCTCATGGTTAATGACACAGCAGCAGTGGCTTATGATCCCACAGAAAATGAATGCTACCTTACTGCACTGGCTGAGCAGATTCCCAGAAATCATTCCAGCATTGTTACCCAGCAAAATCAGATATATGTGGTAGGAGGACTGTATGTGGATGAAGAAAATAAGGATCAACCTCTACAGTCATACTTCTTCCAGGTAAGGACTTTTATATACACAGTTGCTTAAAGGGAAGGCTGTTACTCACCATCCAGTTAGCTAATTTGTGAATTATTCAGGCTGCTTGCATTTTACTCTAATTGATGTCGTCTAAATGATGCCCTTGCACTTTTGCTGTTTAGCGAGTTCACAGAAAAATATTTGACTGCTTTGTTAATGTGTAATAGTTTGGTGAATAATGAGGTTGTAATTCATGTTTAATGACTTAAGATGTTCTTAGGCCGGGCGCGGTGGCTCACGCCTGTAATCCCAGCACTTTGGGAGGCCGAGGCGGGTGGATCACGAGGTCAAGAGATCGAGACCATCCTGGTCAACATGGTGAAACTCTGTCACTAGTAAAAATCCAAAAAAAAATTAGCTGGGCATGGTAGCACGTGCCTGTAATCCCAGCTACTCAGGAGGCTGAGGCAGAAGAATTGCCTGAACTCAGGAGGCGGAGGATGCGGTGAGCCGAGATCGCGCCATTGCACTCCAGCCTGGGTAACAAGAGCGAAACTCTGTCTCAAAAAAAAAAAAAAAAAAAAAAAGATGTTCTTTATACTATTTTACCAAAAGTGCCTTGTTTATAGATGATGGTGACTGTAATCCCTCAAAGCCTAGTATTTT